GGTTCCAGGATTATCTTCTGTCTGTTTCAATTGGTTTCTCATGTTTTGGTATAGAGTCTGTGTAGCTTGTCTCCCTATTCTGCCACCTTGCTGAAGTCCCTCATTTCTAGAGCAAGTGTCTGGGTACCTCTCTTTCAGTGTTGGTAGGCACTGTGTGTGGTTCCTGAGATTAGCTCAGAGCAGGGCTTGGTGGAGTTGAGTAGTTGTGATAGAGACTCTATGGCCCACAAAGCTGAAAATATTTACTGCCTGGTCCTTTATAGAAAAAGTTTGCTGATTCCTGACAGAGCCGTGGTTTCATGCTTTACACACTTGAAGTTTGCATCATACTCCCCAGTCCTGCCTCAGATAAAGGGAATGGGGATACTAAAAGGCCCAGAATCTTAAATTTTAAGACTGATTTCAAGTGCTTTTGACCTCGTCAAAAGCCACACATTAAGAAATATCACCCAGCACATATTTATTGTTTCCTGTGAACCAAGCACTGTTCTGGTACTGATAATATAACAGTGAATAATACCAAGTCCTTGCTGTCATGGTGCTTACATCCTAGTGGGGGGAGGTAATAAATTTAAAGACAAATATGTAGTATATCAAGTGGTGCTAAGTACTAAGAGGTAAAGTTGAGCAGGAGATGGGGATGGAGGCTGGCCTGTGGTCACGGAGCTTCTCTGGTAAGGTGAGATTTGAGCAGAAAGCTAAAGAAAGTAAGGGAATGAGTATGAGTGAGGAAGCTTTGAAGGAAGAGCATGCTTGTCACTTTTGAGGAATAGCAAGAAAGTCTGGTTGGCAGGAGGTGGGAGTGTGACTGGAGATGGGGTCACTGACTCAGAGCAGGTGTAGCCTTACTTAGTTCCCTTGAGGTGGTCTGTTATTGCACAGTGCGGCATGTTGCTTGTGGGGATTCGGGTCCTGGCTCTGATTTAATGGCCACGTATGTGCCTTGGGCAACTTAATCTCTGAGCCGCTTGTTTCTTCCTCCTTAAAGGGATAATAGTGGTATCTCTCAGAGAGTTTCCAGTTCTCAGTAGGTGGCAGGAGTTTGATTAATGATACCTGCTAGTTATAATTATGAATGAACTTTCTGTACCACAGCTGTGTTCTCCTGGCGACAGATGTGGCAGCCCGGGGTCTGGATATTCCTGGAGTCCAGCATGTCATCCATTACCAGGTAGGGGTGTCTGGGAGTTTGTAGTCATCTCCTAGCATTGAGTCAGAGTTTCATTTCAAGTGAAGGAGAGGTGGTGGGGGAGGGAGATGGAGGAGGAATTATTAATCCCAAGGCCTCGTGCAGCTCCAGGAACCCCAGTGACACCTAGTGCCCAGCTGCTGCCAGGTTCGGAACACTGAGGTAGGTAAAGGGAAGATGTATTCTCAGAAAGGTCTTGGCAATGTCTGAGACTCACATAGCCCCTGTCTTTAGCTTGAAGTAGTTGCTTATAATCCTTCTCTGTTAGAGTCTGTATTTCTGTCATGGGGTAGGTATTCTGGTTACCTGGTGCCAATCTGACAAGAATATACCACAAATGGCATGGCTGGAACAAACAGGAGTTTATTCTTAAAATTTGGAGGCTTTAAGTCCAAGTTCAGAGTGCCAGGCTTTAAGGCCTGGGTGAAAGCCCCCCATCCTTGGGTTGCACCTCTGCCTTCTGCTTGCGGCCCACTGAAGCTGGAGGCTTTTCTTCACTCAGCTGCTGGCTGCTGAGGCAGACAAATTCAAGGTTGACAAGTGAAAAGGCACAGTCCTGATGTTACCAAACCACATGGCAGGCCATTAATTCGAGTCTCTCAAAAGTCACAAGGTTGGCAGAGCATGGCAGGCTTTTGAACAACTGACATGGCTACATACATGCAGGGTTCAAGCATGCCAAAAGGCTAGAGACCATTCCCAAAGCTGTTTCTTATATATGGGAAGCAGACCACATACCCAAAGGCAGCTACTCAGCTGCTCACAGTAGATTCTGCCATGGAGTTGATTACCAGTATCGTTATGGGGAGTACTACATCCAGCTGCCCAGCCACTCAGCCAGGCCTAGCCAAGTTGACACACAAACATAACCATCACGGTAGGTATCATACATTTGAGTGTGTGAAGTGGTATAGAGAAAAAGCAGCAGTGTGATGGTGAAGAGTCTGCCTGGGTTCAGATCCTGGCTGTGCCGCCTTGAGCAATTTAGTTAATTTTTCTATACCTCTGCTTTCTCACTTGTTAAATGGAATAAACTTAGTGCCTACTTCTTTGGGTTGTTATTAAGCTAAAATAAGTTAACATGTATAAAGAGCTTAGAAAGTTGACTGGCACCTTGTTACTAAATATTAGCTGCTGTTGACAGTAGCATTAGTATTAGTGCACAAAACCGAAAACCCATTGTTGTCAAGCTGATTGCGACTCACAGCAGCCCTGTAGGTTGGAGCAGAACTGCCCGTTTGCAAGGCTGTAAATCTTTACGGAAGCAGGCTGCCACATCTTGCTCCTGTTGGGCAGCTGGGGGTTTGAACTGCCGACACTTTTAGTAAACACCAGTATGGCGTGGTCATGAGTGTGTGGGTGTCTGCTGTGTCGTAGCTGTGTAGCAAGTTACGTAGCATCTCTGATGTCACTGTCACTGTTTGTAAGCTGGGAGGCGTGTTGCCACCTAGCCTGCATAGAGGTCTGAGGATTAGCGCTAACATGGCCAAGTCCTCATGCAGGTGTAAATGCTTCCTGCCTGGACCTGTTGTGACTGGTTACTATTCCTCCCCTTACCCTTCCTGCTTTTTGAACTCTTAGGGTGCTAGTTCAGCTTAGCAAATCTTTCCTCTTCCTCTTGTTTTAGAGAAGGGACTGGATCAGTCTTGGTGGGTGATCTCAAGATAAACAAGATGATTCTCTGGTCCCTGCCCCCAATAAGTAACAAATCCAGTCGAGTAGCAGAGAGCGGTCCCAGCAATGATCTGAGGTAGGAGATGGTAGAAAGTTACAGGATGTCATGGGAGAGTGTAACTTTCAGCATGGGAAGTTGGAAAGTACTTCCTGAAAAATGCTTGGTGTTTTAAGGATGGAGTGGGTGAGAAAGGAAGATGGAGAGGTGAGAAAGGAAGGAGAGCAGGCCATGCTGAGCCAGGGTGTGGGAAGTGGGCAGTGTTGGGGCACAGTTGGCCTTGCATGAGAAGAGGGCTGTGTCGGGAGAGGAGTAGTTGCTGAGGCTGGGGCAGGTCATTGATGGTCCTGAGTGTCAGATTGAGGACTTGGGCCTTTGTCCTGTAGGTGAACAATGATACATAGATCTGTGAGTATTCATAGTGGCTGCTTGGAGCTCTGTATCGAAAAGAAAGGGGGACTTTACCTCGTCTCAGTGGAGAAGACTTGTGCTTAACGAATGATGTGGGAATGGGAGAATATGAGAGTGCTCAGCATCATGTTGTCCTTTGAACCAGAGGCGGTGTGCTCAGTGGTTAGCATGGCCTCTGAAACTAGACTGCTTCAGTTCAAGTCCTGGTTCCACCAGTTAGTTGGGTAACCTAGAGTAATTGCTTACTTTCTGTTCACTTCCTGGTCTGTAAAATAACCGTGTGAAATAGATAACCATGCCGTCATCGTGCAGAGTAGATGGGAATGATGCCTGACTGCAGAGCACTTAGAATTGCCTGGCACATTGTAATCGCAGAGTTAATGAAGCAGCAGTGAGATTTCTTAGTTGGGGGGAGAGGGTGGTGAGAGCTGTGACTCAGGAAGATCACACTGTAGTTTGGGGCTGGGACCAGGGGAGTGGGGAGGACTGGAGACCCAAAGGCTGTGTGGTCATGAGGGCCTGAAGCAGGGTGGGGGCAAGGGAGGGCACAGCCTGCTCAGTGAACTTGCTAAACCTGGAGACAGATTGAATCCCACCGCAGGGCTGGATTGGCCCACGGAGTCTGCCTGCCTAGCTGGAGGGAGGCGGTCCAGTGATAGGACATGGCCCTGAGGGGCTGAGCTGTGTTGGGCAATCACTGTGCTGACCTCCCAGTTCCTCCTCTGGCAGGTCCCTCGCACCTCAGAGATTTACGTCCATCGAAGTGGTCGAACTGCTCGTGCTGCAAACGAAGGCCTGAGCTTGATGCTGATTGGGCCTGAGGATGTGACCAACTTTAAGAAGATTTACAAAACCCTCAAGAAAGATGAAGATGTCCCCCTATTCCCTGTGCAGACAAAGTTCATGGATGCAGTCAAGGTAAAACCCACTGCTAATCAGGGGATTCTGCTGCTCCTTCTTGACACCTCACTGTGAGGCCCTGGCAACGTAAGTAACGGTCTGCCAACAGCTAAGCAGGACCATTTATAGAAAAATTGGGAGAAGAGAGAGCAGGTGTGTGGTTGAGAACTGCCTTCACTCAGGGCTGTTTGGTGGTCAGGATCTCAGCTCAGTTGTGATGGATGGGTGTTTTGATAACTGTGGGAAATCTGGGTGCCCTTTCAGTTTGAATGGTGCACAATGTTCTTGTAGCAAATATTTATTAAGTACCTACTGTATGCCAGCTACTCTGTTAGATGCTGGGGGTACAGTAGTGACCCAGACAGACAGAGGCCCTGTCCAAGAGAATGACCAGAGAGAATGTTTTACCAGCCAAAATCTTAGCTTATAGATCAGCACTGTGAGCCTAGACAGGCTAGTGTAGTTTAAGGTCACTCAGCAAGCTGCAGCAGAGGTCAGGTCAGAGTAGAGGTACAGTCGCAGACCTGGTTCAAATTTTGGGTCAGCCATTTTCCTAGAGAGTTTAGTTTTATTGATTGATTTAGTAGACATTTGCTGGATTCCTGTTAGGAGACTCAGTCAGTTCTCCTGCATAGGCCTCAGTCTGGTAAATCTTACTGTACAGTTGATGGTTTTTTTTTCCCCTTTCTTAAGCGTTTTCACTTTTTTTTACCCCTCAGGAAGCAAACTGTGACTTGGCTCTTGTATTAGAGTAAGTGCCTCTAGTATCTGTGTATACCTTCCTTGGAAGGTAATTCACACAAAACAGCCAATGTCTGTATTGTTCCTGAAGAAAGCTCTCTGTATGTATGCCAGCTTGCTACTCAGTACTGCTTCCCAGGAGCCCAGCAGGTCTCCTCAGAAGACTGGACCTTACCACGTCCACCGTCGTGCCTCAAGGGGGCTGGTCAGGTCCAAAGTGTCACCTTTCCCCTGTGTCTGTCCCTCATGAGAGAGAGTGGGCCGTGGCGGTCCTTGTAGATCAAAGAAATCTTGCACGCTGACTGACACCAGTGATACCTAAATACTGAAGTACTGTTTTTGACAGAATCAAGAGACAGAAAAATCCTTTTTGATTGTCCTGTTTTTGGTTTCTTGGTATTTTGCTGCATTGCTTATTAGAAAAATGTAATTAAGGTGAGTTTAGGAGAGAGTCAGCCTTGAGCAGGATATAGGGGCACCTCAAGTAAACACACAGTTATAAACCATCAGGGGCAGATTGAGCAGTGTCATGGGCAGCAACAAGAATGGACCGGTTTGGATGTATAGTCATGGCTACCCAGACGAGGTGACTGCTAATTGAGATCTAAGCCTGAGAAGGAGCCAGCGTGTGTGTGCTGGGGTGGGAGGGTAGTGCCTGTCAGATAGGTGGAGGGCCCAGTAAGTGGAGAAGTGAGCAGTGGGGAGATGGAGCGTGAAACAAGGATGATGAGCTCTGACACAACCTGGTTGTGCAGGGGGCAGACTTTATTGCACGTGTGATGAGAGGCCAGTGAGTGGTTTTATGCAGGGCTGTGCTTGTTCCTCCAGGAAGTGAGCTGACGTTCGTTGAAGGTCTGCCGTGTGCCAGGTCTTTCTGAGCATTAAGATACCCAGTTTTTAGAACAAGCCTGTATGTGATTGTCGATAACCCCCTTTATAGTTGAGTAAACCTAGGTGCAGAGAAGTAAAGTGAGCCTAAGGCCTCATAGCCAGGAAGTGACAGGGCATCTGATAAGAAGTGTTACTTAATGCCGCAATCCTCCAGGACCTAGAAACCTGTAAGTCTATGGTGTCTAGGAAAAGAGTTTACGTTGGACACTTGTAGGGTAACAAGATAGAGATGGTTTCCAGGGGAGGGGCTGTTCAGGTATATTGTTTTGTAAGCTGGCTCTTTGTGTGAGTGCATGTGTACACACGTGATGACTGCCAGAAATTTCAAATGCTGGAAGCTGTGGTGGCCCAGGGCTAATCACTCAGCTACTAACTGAACAGTTGGTGGCTCCACAGGAGAAAGACCTGGAGATCTGCTCCCCTAAGGATTACAGCCTAGGAAACCCTGTGGGGCAGTTTACTACCTGTCACTGGGTCACTGTGACTCAGAATTGACTCAATGGTACACAGCAACAAGTGCTTGGCACTGGGAGCCAAGCTGCATCTTCCTGACCGTGGATCGCAAGAGCATTTTAAAACATGATCGACATGAGACCTTGCTTCCCAGAGACCTGAAGCTGCTTTCAGAGGAGTATTTTCTGTTGTTTACCCGCAGGAACGAATCCGTTTAGCTCGACAGATTGAGAAAGCCGAGTATCGGAACTTCCAGGCTTGTCTACACAACTCTTGGATTGAGCAGGCGGCAGCTGCCCTTGAGATTGAGCTGGAAGAGGAAATGTATAAGGGTAAGACCTGGGGCGGGGGGCCTTGAGGGAGGGATGCTCAGCTCTTCCTTTTGCTGCTTCAGCTTGTGTCTAGTTGGACCCTCCCCACTACTGTTGCTTCTATCAGGCACCCTTTGCTTCTTTGCTGACTGGCCCACGTCCCAGAGGAACCTCAGGCCCCTGGCTTTTTTTCCCTCTCTCCTCTCCGTCTCTACAGCCCTCAGCTGTCTCTTTTGTGAAGAGGTGTAGAGTCCAGTGATGACAAGAGCAGGCTCTGGGCCAGACTGCTGGCCCATTCTCATAACTGGCTATAAGGTCAAGTTACCTGACCTCTCTGTTGTACCCGTTTACTCATCTATAGGGTGGAGTACATAGAGCACCTGCCTCCAGGGGTCACTGGGAAGATTGCTCGACTTAGCTTTTGGCACTTTAGCGCAGTGCCTCACAAGGGGGGAAAGTATCTGGTCCATTTTCAGTGATTACCTGTCATTACTGCTACACCCATACCTGCCATCTAGGCTGCCAAAGCACATCATTCCTCTCATTAGCTCTCTCCACAGTCTCAAGGCATAAATGGAGCAGGCACCATTGCCCGTCTACATACGAGAACTGCAAGTTTAAAGGAGAAAAGTGATTTGTGCAGGAAAATAGTGCCACCAGCAGGCATTTCCTGAGCCTTCCTTTGTACCTGCCCAGGTACTAAGGATTCAGGAACGAATCTGATAGTGTCTGCGTTAGGAGGGCTCACACATCTAAGAAGTGGTAGAACCATGGCTAGCACCAAGGATGCCCCAGTTATGTCCAGTGCTCTCTCCACCCTATCAGTGAGCAGCTCATTGGAGCTGCTGGCTTCTCAGGCCTTCACAAGGTATATGATTGCTGCCTGCTGAACTGGAGCCCTGGGGCTGATGACAGTGAGCTGGTCCTCCTGGTAGCCCAGGCTTGGGCTTGGACTGAAGACTTGCGAGGCCCCGGTTTTACTTCCCAAAGACGGGCTCGGGTGGGCCCTCTGGCTGTGCACCTCTGCATGTGTGGTCTGCACGGGTGGTGCCATGTCAGGAGGGTTGGGCTGCATGGGGTGCGTTCGCCCTCCTGGGGATTCTGTTGCTGTCGAGTCACCAAGTCCAGGCAGCGAGAGGTGGGTAGTGGGAGACTTGCATTCTGATCTGTCTGATGGCCAGCTTCTGTGATCGTATGCCAGTGTCTTCTCTGAGGCTCATTTCCTCATCTGTAAGATGAAGATGGTTGCTGTCTTGGAGGGTTTTTGTGAGTAAAGGACAGGGGGCCCCTGAGTGTCCCTCATGAGCTGTGTTAGGAGTAGGCTGTTTACGGTGCCTCAGGCCAGCAGCCAGCACTAACTTCTGCAGAGGATGTTTGTGCCCAGCCTTGCCAAAAGAGTTCTGAAACATTTTTAATTATGACTATTATCCATCCAAGGAAGTAGAACATTTCTAACCCCATAGTAAATAGGGTGTTTGGTATTGTGTCTCCAGGGGGAAAAGCTGATGAGCAGGAAGCGCGTCGGAGACAAAAGCAGTTGAGAGTCTTGAAGAAGGAGCTGCGCCATCTGCTCTGCCAGCCGTTGTTTAAAGACGACCTGAGGACCAAGTACCCCACTCAGTCTGGCAAGCCGCCCGTGGTCATGTCTGCCCCAGGCAAGGGTGAGTCTGCTTTGAGCTGCATCACGAAACAGAAGAAGAAGAAGAAGAAGCAGCAGCAGTTGAAGGAGCAGCAGCAGCCGTCACCACACCCACAGCCAAGTGCAAGTGCAGATTAACTGCCCCGGGGCAACGTGCTGGTGACAGTACAGTGGGGTCTGTTCTCTACTCTCTGTAAACCCTCCTGCCCCCTCCGTCAACCCCAGTTACAGACGCCTCCCTCCTGAATAGCGGGAGATGCGTCACAGATGTTTAAGGGTTCTGTATTCCAGTGTTAGAGTTCATGCATGTTCAGTTGATTTCCTAAATTAAGAACAGTGGTTAGAGCTTGTGTCCTGGCCTGGATTTTTAGCCAGAAGATGGGGCAGTGGTGCAGTCGTGTCTCCTTGACTGAGTTCTCTGGCCAGTCTGCTGCTGGCCTGCTGGGTGGGTGGGTGAGCATGGGGCTTGCGGGTAGATAGCGCGGCTGGAGCGGGAGGCAGGCGGTGTGCACATCGCCGTGTGCTCCTTTGCAGTCTCCTCGGTATGGTTGCCGGCTACGCCGCAGCAGCACTGCTCCTCATCTCTCTGCCACCTGCTCGCGGTTCTTGCGGCAGCTGAGCCAGCCTGGGTGGTGGGTAGGGAAGAAGTTGCTGTCCTCCCGTTCCAAGAGGACAGGGGCTTCCCCGCCAGGCACGAGCTGATGGTGGGGTGCAGCATCACGCCGGCTTCTCCAGCCTCGGTGCTGCGCTTCCCGCTCCACCTCTGGCTGAGCTGCTCACTGTGGCAGTCCTGTGCGCTTGCGTCTCAGCCCAGGCCTGTGCGCGGGTTGTGCCCTCGGCCTGGATCATCTCTTGCCTTTTCCATCCTGTAGCACTGATGCCCTTTAGGGCCCAGAGTCCCCAGGAGGGTGGGGTCCACCTCCTGTGGGCTTTCACAACATTCCATGCTGTCTCCACAGCACATGCCACATGGTGTTTGCCTGCTGACCATCTGCCTCAGGCCATGAGCTCCTGCCAGGAGAGGCCACTTTACTCCAACAGCCTGGTGCTTGGGTCAGAGCCCGGGGTCAATATGCGGAGGGTATGAACGGCCTCAGGCTGCCCCAGCTTTCTCTGCATTGGCCTGGGCGATTGGTCACAGCTGTCACGATCGGGAGAAGCATGGCTTCAGATTTCTTATCAGCTCAGTGTCCCCTACAGTTGTTAAGCAGGGCACAGTACAGTGGCTCGGTTCAGGGGAGCCCACGAGTTTGAAGAGGGAACACACATGGACCCAGATACCCCGAGAGCCAGGTAACCTGGCCTCCCTCGCCCTCCCACTTGGCAAGGCTGGGAGGACAGGGAAGTAGTCCCTCGTCCCTCTGGATGATGTCTCTGTGGACATCTGGCCTCATGCCTCGAATGAGATGCAGGGTGGCAGTGCTGACCAAGTGCCAGGCCCTGACACTTTGGTCTACTTTGTCATTAGTCTTCAGGCCCTGAGACAAGACTTTTAATGCTCTTTTTTTTTTAAAAAAAAAATAATTGAGGGCATTGACACTTGATGATTAAGAACCACACAGCAGCCAAGTGGCAGAACTAGGGTTAGGACTCAGAGCTGTTTTTCTTGTGGGCCTATGGCAAGTTTAGGAAACCACTTCATAGCAGGAGTGTTGCCAAAGAATGCCTGTGCAGTGTCCCTGGTGACCTTGAGAGGAGGGGGAGGCAGGAAAAACAGGAGAGAAGAAAACTGGCCGCAGCCCACACGGTCAGCCCAGCCTCCTTCCCGTCAGCTGTCAGCGGCGTCCGGGCTTCTCCGCTTTCCAAGTGATGTGAGGTCAGCAGGGTTAAGCAGCACTTGCTTGGAGGTGGGTCAGAGATCCCCGGGTGTCCGCCAGTAGCCTCCCCTGCTGCCTCCTAATAAAGATGCCTTGGTGGCACAGTGGTTCAACCGCTCGGCCGCCATCCGAAAGGTTCGTGCTTACCACTTACTCTGCAGGAGCAAGATGTGGCAGTCTGCCTCTGTAAGGATTTACAGCCTTGGAAACCCCATGGGGCAGTTCTTTGTCCTCTAGGGACACTGTGAGTGGAATCAATGAGAGAGTGGGACCTTTTAGTAACACCTTTTCTTTTCTGTGGGGATAGATATTAAAAGGTCTTAAAAGTAAGGGCCAGCCTCCCTCTCACCTGGTGAAGTGAGCTCTCGGTCTGTAGTTCCCTCAGCCCCTGGAGAACCCCAATCTGCCATTGAATAAGGAGCCGGCCTTGTGAGACCCCCCTCCGCCCCACTGAACCTCTCACTGGTGCAAGTCCCCGGGAGAGTGCTGTCTCCAGTACAGGTCAGGGACCAAACAAGGAGCTGGGACACAAGCTGCTGCCAGGGAAGCCATTTTCATGCTGGGAGATTCTCACCAACTGCCCAGGGAGGCTGCAGGGCATGGCCCACATCCCCAGGACCTGGGCCCTTGGCAGCCAGCCACTCACTGAGCCACAGCCGCCTTCATACTCCACTTCCAGCTTCCCTGCATTTTTCTCTGCTTGGGAAGCCCGAGTCACTGCTAAGGTGTCATGCCTCACCATCCCGCAGTGCCCTTCTGCTCCCCACTGGGCAGGCGAGGCTGGGGAATATCCCCTCTGCAGAGTACTTCCTGTGACGAGAGTCACAGTTGTCCTCACACAGGATCTTGCTTCATTTGAACCAACGATCCTGTATGAAAGTATTGTCTCCATTTCCCAAATGGGGAAATTCGGGTTCAGAGAGGGGAAGTGACTTGTCCTGGGTCACATAGCTAGTAAGTGGCGAAGCTGAGGTTTGAACCCAGGCATTCTGGCTCAGAGCTCTTTTATTTCACTTTGTGCTAACAGAAACCCTCGTCAAAAGCAAGAGCAGTTTCCCCTTTTCTGTTCATATTCCTATTGGCTTAAAAAGTTTCCTTTGGAAAGAAAGTAATACAAGTGCAATTTTAAGGACAAGCTGTCATACAACTTTCCTTCCAGCTTTTGTCTGGGAAGACATGGCTTCACGGGTACAGGAAATCCCAGAAGTGTGGTCGTTGTGACTGGCTGCTGTCGCCAAGCAAGGCCACTGTCCATGCGTGACTGGAGCTTGACACATTATTAAAGTGACACCAGTGCCCCTAGATAAGGTCTGAGCAGATGTGGTAGGAACGAGGGTGATGGTTGGGATTTGGTGTTGACTTTGTATGAAAAAGGGAAAGGCAGAAGGTGGATTCCTGCCGGGAGCTTGGTGTGCTGGGGCCAGCCCCAGGCACCTGCTGCTGAACTGACGGGCTCTCTCCTGGGAGGGGCGGCCCATGTCAACATGATGACTCTCTGGCCTGGAAGCCCGCCCAACTTGGTTCTCGCCAGAGAACACCATCCCGCAAGTCTGCTGCAGACGGGGCCAGCTTTTGGGAACGTGCACCAGCCCTAAGTGCAGAGCCATGGTGGTCGGCACTGGGCGGCTCGCTGTGCTCGGCAGCCCTATTGGGGTCACCCTAGGCCTCACCTTACCCCGCCTTCAGAGCTGCCAAGGGCGGCATAGTAGGGGACCCCATGTGGTCATGCCCTTCAGATTGGAAACAGATTCCCTGGAGACTTGTCTAGCAAAGGTGATGATACCCATCATAAAGCATGTGCCCCCCTCTTCCAGCACACCTGCAATGGACTCCACTGTCCAGTGCTGGGAGGGACACTGAATAGACAGGGCAGGTTTACATTCCTGTGGGAAAGTGACATTGTCACTCAGCTTGAACTTGGCCCAAATCCCAGCTGAGGACTGTGGGGTCCTGGTCCTGCCTGGAATAAAGCCCCAACATGTCTAAGAGGGCTGCTGGCTTCTCCCAAAGGCAGGACAGCCCTAGAAACCCAACAGGTCAGCAGGACTGCAGAGTGCTAACAGTCTGGTCAGTAGCTGACTCAGTGCACTGACAGAATCTAGCAAACGCCCTGCAGTGAATCCTGGGAGGAGGCCCGAGATGAAGGGAGTCCCCAGGGGCAACCCCGAAGTGGTGTGCTCTCCGTCCCCTTCCGCAGAGGGAGCAGCGCCCTGGCCCAGCCAGCATCTAGTTCCCCACTGGGGTCTTGCCCACTAGCCCGGTGATGGGGGCTCTTGGGCTCGTGAGGCAGCGAGGTGAGGTTATTCAGGGGGTAGGTTGGAATCGAGTTGACGGCAGTGGGTTTGGTGTTTCGTGTCCAGGTGGACGAGGAAGGAGGCTGCAGGCTGGAGTACTCGGCTACTGGCAGTTTCCACGAGTGAGAAGTCTGCCTGGCTACCAGTCTCCTCAGTTGGTCCCCATTCTTTCCCACCTGACTTGTCACCAGCCCATTGAAAGGGCAGAAGTGGAAAGTGTGCAGAGCCCCAGCCTTGCAAAATGGCAGCCCTGCTCAGCTGGAGCCCATGGCCACGTGTACCCATGTCTCCCTCCACTGAGTATCTCACACTGTTCCAGGACTTGGGGGTGATGGGGTAACTGCAGTTTCCTGGTCCCGGACATCAGTGTGCAGATTTCTGACCAGCTTGCACTCAGCTGAGCCTTTGTCAGGTGAGGCTGACAGCAGAACTCTGAAGGGCCTGCCCTCCAAAAATCAGGCAGTCTTAGCCCTGAGAGAGGTAGAGGGGCCCCTTCTGCTGGGGCTCGCAACGTGCTGAAGGCCGAAGGCCCCTTCTGGCCTGTGACACAGAAGCCTTTTTTCCCCTAAGTTAGGGTTGGGAACACTTGCTCCCATCATGGATGTTTGGTTTGACACTGAATCCTTACATTGAAGTTAGCCTCAGGAGGCCAGTGTTTTGGTCACATCCACCAAAGTCCAAGCCCACTGACTGGACTTGATTTCTTTATAGAACCTGTCACCTGAGTCAAGTGTGACCTTGAGCTTTCTGCCCCTCCGGAGAGGCCCTGCCCCTGGCCAAGAGAAACCACGCTTTTCTACAGTAATAGACGGTCAGTACTGGCAGGAGCCGCCTCCAGTCGAAGAAATGGGTCCAGAGAGGTGACTGAGCCAGGGTTGCACAGCGAGCTGGGCGCCTTCATAAGCACCAGCAGTGTCACCAAGTTACCATGGTTTGCAACGGCAGGCCTCACTCCACTGGGAGTGAGTGGCTTTGCCCAAAAGGCTGTACATTTTCTACTACAGGCTAAACCGCTTAAGAAATTGAAAAGCCGCAATGTTCCATTCAGAATGCAGTCCCGTTAGGTGACAGGCTCCACTGCGTGGCCCAAAATTAATCAACGTTTATCAGCTGCATAAAGGATGTTGTAGTGGGATGTTTTATAGAGCAGGTAAACAGAAGGGTTGGCCGCCTCAGGGAACACGTGGTGGTTCAGCGCCGTGTCCATCTCGTCCACATACTCCACTTGCAGGGCGATGTTCAGGGCCTGGGACAGGGCCGTGATCTGGATGTGGTCACACTCCATGGCCATGGGCTCTACTTCCTGCAAAGGTCAAAATGAGAGAAACGGGCAGTTGAGGAGTGAAACCAGAGACAGGGTAAGAGAAGATCAGGCCTGGCTGTCACGGTCCTAGATGAACCCCTCGGTTGGGAGTCATTCGACAACTCACGAGAGGTGTGAACATGACAGTGACAGTCCAGGCAGTTCACCCAGCACCACTGCGGGAGGAAGGCCTGGCCATGTGCCTCTGTACAGATGACAGCCAAGGAAACCGTGGGGCATGCCTTCTACCCTGTAGCACATGGGGTCCATGTGAATCAGAAGCAACTGGACCACAAAGGGGGTGTGGGGGTGTTTGTTTGGAGGGCAGGTAACCCAGGTAGAAACTGCTAGAATTGCAAGATAGGAGCCCAGCTCTTTCTGATTCCAGACTTTTATTTTAAGAAGGGAGCCCGGGCTTTGAGGGATCTGAGCATGGGGGCAGGTATTCCTTTTCTGGTTGGGTTATGAAGTGCACAGAAGTGAAGCATGTCGGGGGCTCCAAGCGCCCCTGCTCACGGGCCAGGTGGGTGTGTGTGCGTGAGTGCAGGCGTGCTCAGCACAATGGGGACAGGCAGAGGCGGTCCCAGCTGCGGGAGCCCCAAAGGGGACCCCGACTGCTCAGCCAGTGCTGCTGGTTGCCACAAAAAAGTAAGGGTCCAGGGGCCGTGGTCTGATCTCTCATGAAAACTGCCGAGTTTTTAAGTGGTGTGGCAACTCGTTCAGATACCTCCCATCCTAACCAAATACATTTTGGGGTGACAGTAACTCTGCCCCTGCACCCCTGCAACTTAGTAAGCAGTCCAGCCCCAAGCCCTTAATTTCAGGTGAGCAAAGAGGCCTAGAGAGGGGAAGTGGCTTGCCCACAGCTGCACAGTAGGATTTTGCTCCAGCTCCCTGACTTAGTGCTTTCTGAATTGCCAGTGGGGCGTGTGGCCCAAGTTCCCCTATCGATAGTGGCCCTACTGTCTGCAGAGCTGGGATGGGGATGAGTCCCCGAGAACCCACGTGAGCACAGAAGTCTTTGATGTCCATCTCCTCGTCGATGAAGTGGCGGAAGAAGTCGGCCCGGTTCTTGATGAAGGCGGAGGTGAGCAGGCGCAGGAACTGCACGATGCGGTCCGAGGTGCCCTGGTCGTTGAACACCTTCAGCAGGCTGCACGCGGAGCCGTCTCTCTCCAGCAGCTCCACCACGCTGTAGAACTGGTAGCCAGGGCCGTCAGCCAGGGCGGGGCGGGCCTCTCCCCCTTCCCCTCCCCCCAGAGGATGCCTCAGGGGCCATTCTCTTTAGAGCCTCGAAAACAAGACAGAAAACCCAAACTCCCTGCCAGCGAGTCCGTTTCGACTCTTGGGGTTCCAGTAAATCTTTACAGAAGTAGATTGTCCCATCTTCATCGGCAGAGCGGCTGGTGGGCTTGAACCGCCAACCTTCTAGTTAGCAGTGAAATGCTTTAGGCACCGTACCACTAGAATTCCTAGGGCCTCAAGGTGAGATACTAAATCTGAGATGCCTCTGAAGGAGTTAACTGGGGTGAGAAATAGTCTGAAATTAGCACTTTAGCCCAGAGCCCTGTCTAGGGGTGGGGCCCCTGGGTGGCACACAGTTAAGTGCTCAACTGCTGGTTAAGGGTTGGTAGTTGGACTCCTCACCCAGAGGCGCTACCTGGGGCAGGCCTAGCATCTGCCCCTGAAAGGTCACAGCCCAGGAAACCCTGGGAAGCAGTTCTACGTGCACATGGGGCGCCATGCGTGGGACTCTCCTCCACCTCGTGTCCCGGGAGCGGGGAGGGGAATCCCCATCGCCCCCTTGCTTGGGCTTTTTCTTTAGCAAGGCCAGCGTCCAGAATCATCCAGCCCGCAGCCCTTCAACAAGCGGATGGGGAAGGGGGTGATCCCGCCGGCGCAGTTTCCCAGCCTCTGCTCCCAGCGTCTGCCTTCTCCCAGAGGGAGGGCGGGCTCCGTGCCCGCACACAGACCCACACTCAGCAGACGGCCCTCTGCCTTGGCCCAGCCAGCAGGAGCCTGAGGGCCACAGCCACAGAGCTCAGGGCTGCGGGGGGCCTCAGCGGGCGCCACCCCCTGCCTCTCTGCCCACACAGAAGGGCAGGTTCTTCAGCCACCGGGACCCAGGCAACTCACAGCGTTAAAGAAGTTCCGGAACTTGTGCTCCTCAAAGCCGGCAGCCAGGAGGTCGTTTGGGGTCTGCAGTACACGCTCCTTGAATCTGCAGGGGGAAGACTGGCTGCTCAGAGAAAAATACAGGGAGCACCCCGCATGCACTCCACTGTGACCCCTCAGCACCCGAGAAGGTGGGTGTATGTGGAGGTGAGCGTCTCCTGAAACAGAAGGGGGGTGTATGTGGAGGGGTGTTTCCTAAGACAGAAGGTGGGCGTGTGTGGAGGGGGGTCTCCTAGGTAGACTGCGGGGAGTTCTGTGCCTAAACGTGATGTGCGTCCCGGCTTGGCCTAGACGCGATCTAAAAGCTCCACTGGGCCAGGATGCCAGGGCTGGGGGCCACAACCCCACCAGTAAGGCGCTCTGGGAGTGTGGGCCTCACTTTCCCTCCTACACACAGGGGGTGCTAGCAATATGCTTCATTGCAGGGCACTGAGTGAGAGGGGTCCCAGTGCGTGGCAGTCTTCACTGTTAACTTTATGCCCCTTGCTGCTACTGGTATGGTCACTGCCACCAACCCGCTAGGTTTTCCCTCAGGGCCAAGGCAGGGGTGTGGTGGATCCGTGCTGGCCCTGCTGCACCCCTCATCCAGCGCCCCTCCATGTCTATGTCTGTGGTGGGTGGCCCACAGCCCCGGGCACTGGCTGTGGCACCAGAGGTCTCTGCTGTTCACCAGGCCACTACCAGCCCTGCTTTTTGGCCAGGGCTGATCACTGCGCTCCTGGCTTTCCTGCCCCACCCCTTGTCCCCTGCCAGGACCCCACCCTAACCCCTGCCTCCTTCCCAGTCATTCCTCATCAGTGACTGCAACCCCCGTGTTGGGCCAGGCGCTGGGGATACAGATGAGCGACACCCAGATGGCCCGACCTCACAGCAGGGCCACTGCCCAGCATAACTCCAGGGTCATGGGGCGCAGAACTGGGCACTGCACAGCACTGTCTCCGCCACCACGGGGCAGTGGGGGGGGGGGGCTTGAGACAGCCAGCGTGTCGCCTGGGAAACCTACTGAAGGGTTCTTCCAGAACAAAGGGTTTCATTCCTGCCACTGAGAGAATCTGTGAGGAACTGCAGATGAGGGTGTCAATCCAGGGCTTCTCAGCTGGGGTGATGTCCCCTCAGGGGAGACACCTTTGATTGTCACGGTTGTGGGGATGGGAGCATCTGGTGGGTGGAGGCCAGGGGCGCTGCTCAATGTCCTGCAGTGCACAGGACAGGCCCCCCCCCCCCCGAACCTTTGAGTCCAAAACGTCAGCAGTGCTCCTGATGAGAAACCTGCCAGAACCAAAGGAGTCCTCACGCCAGGGACCGGGACCAACCCCAAGCGCTCTGGGACCCAGAGGCCAGTTCTCTTAACCCTGGCCACTCAGTGTGGCCAGGGCCAGCTGTGCCAGCGTCTCCTCGGGGCCGGTGAGAAATGCAGTCCTGGGCCCCACCTGGCCCCACCGGTTCAGGACAGGCATCTGAACGGGTCCCAGGTGATTTGCACAAAGACTCAAGGACCAGAAGCCCGGAAGTGAGGCAGGAAGGGCTGATGGGGCCCCGCTGGGAGCAGCGTCTGCACAGAGACCTTCTGGTGGCCTTGACCCCAGATGCGGGCCTGCCCAGGTGAATCACCAGGTGTCGGCAACTCACCAGGCTCACGCGGACCTGGGAGGTCACCGAGCCCACCCCCTGCCGCTTGTTGCCACATCTCACCCCTAGCGGGCAAGCTGGGCAGCCTGCCAGCTCCCTCCCGGGGTTAGGCCCTTGGGGAGACTCAGGGAGCTGGCACAGAGCCCAGCTGGCCTGCGCACCCCTCCGCCACCGCCCCCCCGTTCCGTCTCACCTGAGGATCTCCCTGTTCTTCCCTAGTAGAAACTCCAGGTATGAGTAGCCCAGGGCCCGGTAGAAGCAGTTGCCATCACCCTTGATCTTCCGGATCGCGGTGAATCTTCTGCTGAGTTCCTGCCAGCGAGGGGGGGGCAAACCTGCACCTGGACTGCATCAGACCCCAGCTCCCCCAGGGGACAGCCGCCGCCTCCAGGCTGGGCTGACCCTTCACTGTCTCTCCCCCTCTCATTCACTCATTCCACAAATACAGGAACACGTAGGGTGTGTCCTGGGTGTCAGACACTGAGGAACTGTGCGTGAAAGTCACACTGCCTGCACGGCAGCCTGCAGTCAGGGGGAAGCTTGGGGCCGGGCACCTACACCAGAAGTCCTGGAAGCCTTCCTGGAGGAAATGACAATGAGAGGAGGAGCAGGAATTATCAGGAGCAGGTAAGTATGTGGTGGTGGAAGGGGGACATGGTGATGCATGTGAGCTGAGAGAACGCCTGGTGAGGGCTGTGGTGGTCAGGGAGGAGGCTGATGACCCTATCGGAAGGGTCCCCTAAGCCATCCCCCATGATTTGTCCCATCCTGCAATCACTTCTCAGAAGTCGGGGCCCTCCCCATGTATCTCTCCAGGTTCTGCTCCCAGCTGGTAGTTTCCCTCTGACACGGCCACGACTCCCCCTTCCTGCCTTGTGGGGTATAGTCCATTTGGACAGCAGAGAATGGTTTTGGGGAGGAAGGGCTCCTGTTCCCACCACAGCAATCAGCAGGCTCAGGGTTGACCCTGGCCCACCAGAGGCAGGCCAGGAGAGGAGGAGCTACTGCTTAGAGACCCTCCTCCCCTCCCAAGAGTGTTCCAGCAGACAGGAGAGTCAGTCTGCCGGCCCTAGCTCCTGCCCAGGAAGTGTCCCTGTGGTCATGTTTGTATTGCATGACACCCCACCCCTGGCCCCTGACTGACTAAGTTGGATCAACGGAGTCTCGGAGTCTCGTAGATCATGACTTGGCACACAGTGACTGTGCTGTGTCTCCGTGAGAGACCCCAAGGGGACGAAGGCAATGAAAGCCCATTCTGTGCAAAGTGAAAAGTATCGGCCAATGTCAGGGAGAAGCATGGTGCTGCCCACGAGGAGCGGGTAACCAGCCCCTCCCACTGCCCTCGCTCTGTAAGCCGTCCTGCAACCTCCAGCAGTCTCCCCTTTCCCCTTAGCCCAGGTGGGCAGGCTTACTCCAGAGGGGTTATTTAGGGTAGTGGTTACAAATGTGGCTACGGGCTCAGGCTGCCTGGGTTCAAATCCCAGTGCTGCCACTCTCATAGAGACCATATAGGACAGAGTAGCTCAAGTTGTATGCCTTGGGTGTGTCACTTAATTCCTGTGCCTCAGTGTCTTCAGCTGTAAAATGGGGATGATGATACACAGAGATGTAATGAGGTCTCAGTGAGTAAAGAAAGCATTTAGGATAGTGCCAGGCTTGAGGAAAACATGCTGTTTTTTGCAGTGAAGGACCACGTTAAACACCCCACATAGAGGGGTACTGGGAGCCGTTCTGCTGTCAGTGTGCGCCGCCTCCTGTGGCCCCATCTCTAGCCCACTTAACTGAGGGTCCCCTTCTCCCTGCCCTCTGCCTCACCTGGATTTTCCGCTGGTAAATCCTGTTTTCAGGATGATCCCGAAGAATGGATAGAATGTCACATTTTTCTGATATTAGGTTGAAAGATGTTTCACTCTGAAAGATGAAGAAGGAGAGCCGTGACAATTTCAAAAGCCACTGATGGGATTCCATCCAGTCGATATCCTCTGAACTGCCAGTTAAATGGGAAATGGTGGCCTTCGCGTGTAAGGCACAGAGGACTGTGTGACCGGTCTCCTGCAGGTGTGCCTGGATTTCCATGTTCCCTGAACGTGCAGGCAATCCTGGTTATGAGGAACTTCACCTTGTAACTTGCAAATGATTCATTTTATAGACTATAATACCTCTAACGTAAGGAGTCATGAGTTTCCTTAAACTTAAGGACAGTGGGTAAAGTGCTTGGCTGCTAACTGAAAGACTAGCAGATTGAACCCATCACCTGCTCTGTGGGAGAAAGATGTGCCAGTCTGCTTCCATAAAGATTCATAGTCTTGGAAACCCATGGGGGCACTTCTACTCTGTCCTATAGGGTCTCTATGAGTCACAATTGACTTGTAACAAGTTTAATTTTTTT